CGCCATCGACGATTCATACCCTAAATCATTAATCATTCATCGATGGCCGCCACCTATACTCGCCACCCTCTCGACTTATACGTGTTGTACAGTAGATTTTTCGCCGATGTGGCCACCCACCAGTACGCCACTTATAATCTACCATCGCCACCTATAATCCTATATCGCCACCTATAATCCGATGCGCCACCCTTAATTGTTATTTGGGTTATTACTGTCTTGATGTCATTTTTCTCTGCACACATTTTTTGAATTCAAAAACTTTCCTGTTCGACTTATGGTTAGTTCAAGTTAATGGTCAATAACGAGTTAATTGAATGAGGATTTCATAGTATATAAATAATATGAAGTCCGTATTCAGTATATATATAGAGGAATAAAAAATGAAGAAATTTGAAACGACTGCCTTCAGCTTGAGTGGAGCCTCTTTAAGAGAATGCCTGAGAAGTAATGATCTCTTTGAAGATTTACGAGACCTGCATGACTCGCAAATTTCGTTTTGTCTTGAGTAAAATAGCGGAGAACTCGCCCAGCCATGTATTGTTATTTTTTTTCTGTGTTGCGACAATGTCTTTTTTCTCTGAACTTTGGATGTTTTTATCTCATTGATACTGTTCGTTTATTTTTACATTTTTGTCATCAATGTTTTCATTTTATAATTGTTTCGTTTTACGATGTGTGAATTTTTACGTTCTTCAATTGATTCCTAATAACTTTATTAATTCTTCATTTAAGTATGGATAGTAAATGAAATTACATTTTGGAAACATTTCCACTTTCCCCTTATCACATTTACAACTATAGAATCGAGGTTATTGAAATGTAGTATATGCCATAATAAAAAAGAAACTTTTCAATTAATTTATCAACTCACACCGAATTCGAGTGATGGATAATTATTTTAAACTTTAAATTTCTGTATTTATCCAAAACCTACGAAACCTAGCCGTACATTTGCTAGTGGGAAACAGAAATTTACGACCAATAAATGACCAGAGCAAAAATTATAATTTAGCTCTTAATCTTTACCTACTAAAATAAAGCAAACAAAAAATATTGCATCAGCCGCTTTGGAGATCAAACCCCCTTGTTCTTGGGCGGTGTTTGCGTAGGCAGTTTGTCCTTCTCTTTGTTTGAAGTCCGTTTTTTTTCTGCAGCCGCACAGGAAAAAGACATTCAACTCGCAGACGGTAGGTCGCTGTTTATTCCTTGCTCGAAATCAGTCACGATCAAAATTACGTCTCGGTTCTCCTCATTATATTGATTTATTTTACTTATCCTAATCAATGTTCGTTTTTTACTCGTATTGTTACCTTTTGGTGTTGCTCACTCTTAACAGCAGAGTTCGAAACCCTAAAATTCTACAAATTCACAACAGCTTGATGTTCATGGCCAAGATGGTATCATCTTCAATTGATTCACATTACACAAAAAATGCCGTCGAGTTGAGGTAGGGTCAGTCCCCAAAACGTCCAAGTATATATTCTTTGTCGGTATTCGACGAGTCGTTGGTATGAGCGTGAAATGCGAATCAGAATTTCAAATAATCGGGATCTCGAATTTACGTGTGTGAGCATTCAGGCCCGCGGAAGCTTTTTGTGTTGACCTTTCCCAAGAGTCCCTATTATTGATTTAATTGAGCTTGCGTGTTTCTGGGACTAATTTTAGACTAATTTTTATTGTGTAATTTTAGAATATGTCATATTTTGAGCACATACTAAGCATTAGCCTTCGCAATAAAGTTCAAATTGATCATGAATTTTGAAACTGAGCGTGGAGCAGCCCAACAGGTGGACTCAGCCGTGCGGATGTCTGCAGGGGAGACCGTGGCTTGCTCGCCTTATGGCTCCACGTCTTTAACAACTCCCAACAAACATCATGGCTTTGTGGCACCGATGCCAAATAGCTTTATTTTCTCATAATTTCGGAGAATGGCTTCATGGAAATGGATCATTGGTTTAATGGAAATGCTTTGTAATATATGTACATGTATAGTAAAGTAAGAATGTTTAGGAAAATGGTCACAGAGATTTTGAAAGTTTCGATATATTTTTTGGACACAAAGGAGATGATTTTCTTCAGAACTTCACTTGAGAATATGTTTAAATACTTATTAACGTTTATGAGAGAAAATTTTAAGCAAATTTTCGTAGTCGTAGAGCATAAACTCTGTTCATTGATTTCAATGATAAGTTATAGTATAACAAAATGATGTAGCTGATTTTCTTGTTGCATGTTCCCGTTTAGGAATATGAGTCTCGGCTCAAATGGTTGGAATTCTTAACCCCTGTAATTTCTTTGAAGTTCCTGTAATTTTAATACTAGTTAATATTAATTATAAATTATTTAATCCAATAATTTTTTTCAATTTGGAATGTTTCCTACTTCAGCTGGAAAACAATTGCAAATAATCAGTCAAATTAACTAATCATTCATTCAAACAAATTTATTCTGTTTGTTTACAGTTGAGATTATAGAATTCAACTTGTCTCAGGTTGATATGACCTAAACTTCATATTGTCAATAATCATGTTTTATTATAGATCTCAGAGATTACATTTTATCTAGCTAATACATTATTTTATCATGGTATTTTCATGATAATAATCTCTGCGATTATTTTGAACCATTTAATTTTATGGTGCATGGTCGTCGGTGGCCTGCATCAGATTCTGCGGCATTTGATATCTTAGCCATGTTCGTAGATATCAATTTCTTATCTTCATAGCTGATACGGTTACTATGTGCTCTTATTAGTAGTGTTAATTTGAAAAAAAAAATATAACTCAGTACTCACTGCAGTGAGTGACAGCGAGCGCATTTTCTCGTCGACGAAAACTTGAGGTCACGGACGGACAGACAGAAAGATAGACAGACGGACGGGCGGACATGACGAGCACAATTGTGCATTTTTTCCGTAAATGAGAAAATGCGCTAAAAACAATTTTTGTAGTACAGTTAAAAGTATATAAATAAATAAACAAAATATTTACAAGAAAGATTTGAAACTGACGGAACTTTAGATGTTAATCATATTGTTCATTCGAGAAATAAATTCTAATGTAAAACTAGTACCAAAGTTTAGATTAGTTTATTATTTGGTTTAAATATATTTCTAAAGCCGCCGACTATACAAAGGCTTAATTGTTCCACTGATCTTCTGCTGGCTTGCATTTATTGGGACACTTATATATTTTACCGCACTTCATGTCCTGGCTGCTCACGCACGAATTTAAAAACTTACCAATTTTCAGTGCAGCTATTTTTTATGCAAAGTACGCGTAAAAATGTTGAACTAGCACTCCTTGACTTTTCATTCTATGTGGTGTTCTTTGTTTCCTAAAATGCAGAAAATTTATAGAAATAATTTCTTCTTAGAAAGAGTTTTGAACATTTTGATTCATCAGAAATTTAATTTTATGACCATCACCGATTGGCATATTGGGCTGAATGTTATGTAAAATACACTTGTGCTGTTGTAAGTCGAATTCAACCCGACTCATGAAGTGAATCCAAATTATGCCAAGATGGTGATTTAAATTTTCCACGCGCCTTTCGTTACGAAAAAATACTTGAGTTAGTGGAGAGAATTGGCACATAATAATCTGGCAATTTCGGTTTGCAGAGACGAAATAAATAATGTGACAACACGTATGCAGTTCATCTCTGGCTTATATGTTTGATTATTGGAACAGTTCCGAGCAAAACGTCTTCTCTATGAACGAAACTTGTTGGTAAATTTGGAAAATTCTGTTTTTGACCGCCCAATTTTTTTAATTTCTGGATGCTGTTAGTTTCTTGTTTATTCCGATGCTATTAGTGATTGTGATCATGTGAAATCAACTTGAAATGATAAAAATAATCCACTAAAAATATTCGGAATAAATACCTCCCAATGATGATATCATTTAAGTATGGCACCCCTTTTTTTAAATAAGAACTGAGTTGCAATAAGCTAGAGTCTTCCATGTATTCTACACAAACTAATCCACATCCACCCTAAATTAAAACTTAAAATCATTGCACGCTATAGTATTCGTTACGAAGTAAATTTGCGGAATATTCGTGTATAAAAGTTTACCCTAACGCGCAGTGTTCTTGCAGTCTCGAATTTCGTACAAATTAGCATGCGCACGATTTTTTTGAACAAATAACTATATTACTTCAAATTTTTCTTAAGTTGAATTAGATTTTTTTCAGAAATTTGGGTGCCATTGAGTTGCATGTGGCTATTGCTTGCTGTTCTCGATTTTCTCTTGGTCGTCATTTTTTTCAAATTGCTCACATTCAAATGTTATTTGATAAATAATTGCATGAATTTATTGCCCGAAATTTATCACGCAAGATAAATCTTAGATTGGAATTAACTTAATGAGCGTGATTTTTTATTTTGTAAATTTAATCAAAATTTTTAATAATTTAACTTTGTTCCCACTACATTTGAACTTTTCTACTTTTCTGCTCCTAGGTCCAAATCTTCATTTGGCAACTATGCGCCTCACAACTCTCGATTATTGCTAAGTTTGCTCACCACATTATCGCTAACTAAAAATTTATTACTTGCTTATTTAATATTTTTGATGTTAATGTTTATGAATATTTAAATAGAGTTATAAATGAAGTTAAACAATAAGTTTGCAAGGTCCATTAAACATTTCGGATATTCGAGTCACTAAATCTGTTTTCTTTCATGTTGTTCAGGTAAGAGGATTCACTTTTATTCAAGTTCCCGCTCAGACTATTCAGCACTTGTGTTTTTGTTTCTAATGACCTTTAACGAAGGAAGTTATCGTGTATTTTGATGCAACGATTCTTCTCTATATTGCACTTCGATTGTTTTAGAACTTGTTATATTTATATTTCAGAACAGGCATTTATACGTTATATTTTAGAACAGATATTTATACGTTATATTTCAGGTATATTGATATATATACATATTTCATAACAGAAATGTTACATCCAAGACAGATTGTTAGATTTTCACGCGATTGTTTCAGAACTTGCTTCAGCCTCACGCGACAGCCCCCCTGCCTGAGTACAAGACAGTCAGCATTCAGAAGTCTCGCTTCATCTTGACACACTACGGCATGCTCAAGACGTGCTGGGACCTTGTCATCCTCTTCGCCACGGTCTATGTGGCCGTTGTGGTTCCCTACAACGCTGCCTTCCTCGAGCAGAAGTCCAATCCGGTGCCTGACATCGTCGTCGGCGCGCTCTTCTTATGCGGTGAGTATATATAAATGCCATGATTAATGCATAGGCTTTCTGTGTTGATTATAGCTTTCTATGTTGATCATAGCTTTCTATATGCTCTATTTCTTAATTTATATTTCTTGACATCTCTATTATTACTAAATAAATAGGATTTTACACTGTCAATTTAAATGTGTATTTATTAATTTATCAACAAAAATTTCATTGGATATCTTTACATGTGATATTATCCGTATATTTTGGAAAATTGTCATTAATTCACTCAATTATTGTGTTTAAAGGTATCGGAATCGATCGAATTAATAAATGAGCCTAAGCGTCATTTTAAATTTTTCAAGTTCTCTTATGTGATTTCTAGACGCTAGAGATAAAAAAAGAAAGGGACAAAATTGCGTAAAAATTTCATACATGATGGAGTTGCAGACATTGCAACTTAATTTAAAGCGTCCGAAATAAACTTGTGAACTAGAAATAAATACTTTTTTTGTATTTATTAGAAAGCATAGTAACCGGAAAGTATATTTTATGTCACGGAACTCAAATGTCGGCAATCAGAACTTATCAACGTGGTTGCCATTTGTTCTGGTAGTCATTTGAATTTTACCAAAAGCGACTTCATTTATTTTGCTTTTTAGTTGCGAAAGTAATTCGGAAGCTGGTCGGGCGAATTATGTTTTTTTTTTAATTCCCATGTACGCTCTGCAATAAAAAAAAATGATAGGAATAAATCATTAGCAGAATCATTCTAATATTTGTCGAAGTGAATGATTCTTATTATCTATGCTGAACTATTTTTGAGTCAATCCCAAAATGACGATATTCGGTCAAAATTTAATAATTCGGCCTCGACTGGAACTTTTTCGAATTAAACTTTTTAAATAATTTATATACATTCATGTTTTTTTATCGAAGTTTGAGTTCTGGATTTTTGAAGTTACATGTTTAAACAAGATAGTTTTTGATTCATGTTGAAGGATATAAATTCCGGATTACTGGAGTTGATGTTTTTTATTATTTTATGTGCAATAATTTAATAACTACGAGACTTTAACTGTGAATTACGTCGATTATTTTAATAATATACGATGTAAGACGTATTTTATACTATGTAATATAAGATAATTAATAAAACAATTGAGGATTGAGACATTGAAATAAGAATATTTTATTAAATTTCAAAATGCAGTGTGCTCCATTTGGGAAACTGAAATATATGAATAGCCACCTTAGAATGAAATAATATTAATATAAACGTACAGTAATAAGAATACATCAACCAGCATTTTTTTTACCATGTTCCCTGGACAGATTTTTATGTACATTCTTGATTTAAATTTTAAACTATTGAATATAAATATTTGTCGATACCTCAAAATCGGATGTTCTGTAAAAAGCAAGCTAATCCACCCTCATTTCAGGGTAGTTTCATGAGGTCTTCACTATTGAGAACGCTTTTAAAACTCTATATGTTGAGTTATCAATAATTTCTTTTCGGTTTATTCTGACTTTAATAATTTCTTCTCTATTCTCCTGTAAAAGATCAAAATTCAATTCGTGTATATGAAAGACAATTAGTAATTTTTTCATACGTAGCATGAACACCATCGTTATCTGGATCATATTTGCTCATTCAGTAAATCACTACTTTCTTAACGCTTGAAGGACGACATTTTTCGTAAAAAAATGTCGTTTCGTTTTCTTTCAGCTAAAGGTCCAGTCTGAGCTACAAAATTTGATTTGATTTCTTATGATAATATGGTTTTACATCTGAATTGATGATTTTTTCAATTGAATTTGAAATAATCGTTCAATTTTCGGAGGGCGAACAATCGTTCATTATTAATTTATTATATCCCCGATTCAAAGTTACTATTGAAGTGAGAGTTGCGTCGATCCCGCAGTCCCTTCAGCGACGGTTGTTCAGATCATTTTTTTCGCGAACTTATATTGAACGGAAACAATTTTAATAAAAAGTGATGTATCAAATTACATACGTTGATTAAATTGCCTTTAATTGGTTGTCGAGGCTTTCTCACGTATTTTGTTCGAGCGATCAGAGACATTTTCGTCACGTCATTCGATAATTTCTAATTTTATGTAAAGGCAGGAAATCACGGTTTTGTTTTTTAATGAAATAATCAATGTTGATTCTGCGTTTATCCTACATTTCATTATTAATTTATTCCATATTTTCTCACTCTACATACATTAAAATAGATTGAAAATGGTTAAAACTTTTTTGTATTAATTCGTAATTGTAATTCCGGCAAAAATTGCCTCATATAATTGTATGCAAAGTTATTGGAGTCGAAATTATACCATCAGAATATTTTTTTCTGAGGCATAGTATAGACAATCCAGTTTGTGTTATGGCCTTGCTGCCGCTGTATATTAGGTACGATCGAGTGCGCGTTTATCTCCCTCATTTCCTGAAATCTTTTTTTGTCTGATTTGATAAATCATCTATTTCCATATTATCAATCATAAGTATTGATTTCATGTTATTAATAAACTTTGACCAATGGTTTATCTATTAATATCATCATTTTCATACTTGATTTTATACGCATAAAATAAGATTTCACAAATTTGGAATTATTTTCGCTCATGAAATTTTTACGATTCTTCGCACAACAATTGATCCACAAGATGCCTTCACAATCTTCCTTCTGTGATTATTTGGTCATTAACATTCATACTCCATGCATGAGTTTCAATGTTTTAAAACTACATTTGCATTAAGTTATATGGTGACATGAGAAAATATCTCATGATTGCAAACTTCTGGTTCAATGATAAATTTTTGATTTTATGATAAAATTTCCTAATTCTGATTTTTATATTCGCTGACATTTTTTGTTGTTTTATTTTACAGTCAGTTGAGGTAAATTATGGTGAGAGTAAAGATTTATTTTTCGAGCCGATCATGTTGGTTCAAATCAAATTGGTTCAAAGTTTAATTGGAACGATTAATTAAAAATTTTTCGCCCACTGTCGAATATATATGGAATACATTGTTGATTAGTGGGCAATATCTCTAAATGGAAAACAAAGTTCCAATTTGTACACAACATTGCTCCAAATTACAGCATTCCTTCCAATGGAGCTGAATTAACTGCTTCCATGAGACATCCCGAGTTGAGTCGTTTGGTAGTGACTCGATATTTCCCTATTCATTAGTCAACTCATAATTAATTGCTGCATTTATTTAACCTAGTATGAAGAAAAATGCGGTCGATTACGCCCTTTCTTTCGCCATGGTTATCAGTTGACCTGTGCACAAAGAGAACTTCGAATTAATGTAAACATTTCCCCGATTATTTCTTTGCATGGCTAGCGAGACTCGTGAGCCAAATCCACGCAGTAAATATTCGCCCCTTTCAAGGTATCGTATAAATTCATCGCAGTCGGTGATGCGGAGATGTTGAGACGACCTCATCTTTAACAGCACGCAGCGTCACTGACGGGTCTCAAATTCGCGTTCTCACATTCATGTTCCGGCTTGATGTTTGTGCTCGCTTCGGGATTACGTTCTTAGAAATGATAGTAAATAAAGCTCTATATTTTTTTAATAGCTCGAATGAGGCTGCACTGCAATTTCCAAAGGACCGCGCGCTATGAGTAACATTAAAAAGTTGCATGCGTGCCCATGATGCAAAATATCATGTGATGTTAAAGGATTAAAAGAATACGCATAGGCATAGTACTATATCCATAGTCGGCAATTAGCATCTTTGCAAGTGAAGCTTTACATGTAAAAAAGTAATCCAGGGAAAATGAAAATTGTAATAATGATTTTGTTTGAAGTTGATTATGCTATTAAATAAAATGTATTCTGGGTACTGATTTAAGTAACTTAATTGGCAGGTATTTGGTCTGAGCAACTCGTCTTGTGGCTTGTATCAAATTTCAAGATTAAACAAAGAAAATTAAAATCAACACCGTTTGTTTTGAGATATCTTGTGTCAATCTGGGAGAACTTTTAGTTCAAATGAAACTTACACGCGCAACAAATCCTAGAACTACACCTATTGCTATCCCATAACTGGTGACCCCAGTGCTGATACAACTCTAATGTCAGATGAACAGCGCGTGAGTGAAAGGAATTAATTTATATGACCAAATACCTCAGAAAATCAAATTCACATCGGTGGGCAGAAAAAGGAGTGCAAAATGCAGCAAGATTATGTGAGTGCTTTTAAAACAAGATTAAGTCCAAAATCATATAATAATGATGGAACAAAGATTAACTATAGAAATTAAAGATTAGAGATCATGAAGCTTCTATAGGTCTGTGGTTTCGACGTCGGCGTTGAAACCTCATTGAAGTATACAAGTTTACTCATAGTTTGTACAAGATACCAGAAAGATTAATAGAATATGAAACAAGAACCAACACCTGGGGCCAAAGCGTTGAAAGCTATATGAACTAAAAAAATAAAACTCGGTACTCACTGCAGTGAGTGAAAGAGAGCGCATTTTCTCGTCGACGAAAACGCGATGTCACGGACGGACAGACAGACAGAAGGGCATGGCGAGCACAATAGCGCCTTTTTTCATAAATGAGAAAATGCGTTAAAAACCGCGCTGGAACTCGTCCACGTGTGGCGGAACATAAGTTTTGTGAACAATTTTTTAAAGAACAATGTTTTTATTTCTGGCTAAACTCAAATGATGTAACTTTTGCCTGTTAAATTATGACTAAATAATGCGTAAAAATTTTTTATATCTCGACGTAAACGTGGAAACTCTTTTTTATGTGATACTATTTATCGATAGCGATAAGTTACATTGATTAGCGTCACTCGTCGTCTGCTAGCCCCCACCACGTGTAGACTAATTTCTAAGATATTTAATTCGTAAATTGTGACTTGATCCTGGAAGTAGATAAGCGCTGTCAATCTACGGTACCATCGTCTCGCGAGTACGGCTACGTCGCCATCTTTGCGTAAACAAGTTGGACATCTTCGACCTATATGTTCTATAAAAAATCGATTATAGCCTATAATCATGTTAACAAAAGGTTAAACTTTGCGATTCTATTATGTGATATTAGTTGTCGTTGCACTTTGATCATGCTTTTAGTCAATGTTTCTTTTGTCTAGGCAAAGTGCTATAAAATTCGCGACTCACGCGCTTGACAGTTAGGTATCTTCGGGAGTTATTATATCATATATAGTCTTTCACCGATCAATATGTGGCCAAATAATTAAACTACGATCCTACTTTATTGTAATGTACATAGATGATGTTAATAACCCGTTTCGTGTACATTGTGAAAGAGGTATTTTGTGAGGTTATTTTAGTTGAGCTACACCTCGTGGACGAATACTGTGTGCTCAGTGTGACTGGTTTGGGTCTAAGCACTTCGATTCGAATGCAGAGAGCCAGATCTGGGCTGCTAAGACTGTTGTAATTGTGGACATATCTCGCAAGGTTAATCGATTCGAGGGTGCTTGCTTAAAGCAGGCGTAAGTAAGAAGAAATCCTCTAACGAACTAAATACGGCGTAGGCAGAGTTCATGGTTACTCCCGGCCACTGGCAGCGCTCTGGTACGTGTGGCTCCTACCCGTACCGAGCGCACCTCTCGTGTTGTGGGGGATATTACCTTCCGCACTCGAGTATATTTGTCAGCGTTCTGGTGCGGCTCGTACTCGTTTCGTTCGCGCCTCCCGTGTCATTGGGGTTAATGCCTTCCGTGCTTCGGAAGTAATCGGCCTTTGGCATCTCGTACCCGTGTCATTTACCGTCTAACTCTACTGCCTCTTGGTGTGGCTCGTACCAATATTATTCGCTTTTCTCGGCAGTGTATTGGACTCTTACCCTGAGTAACTGTGACTGGCTGTGAGCATGAGTTTAATTATGATTGATGTTTAAAAACCTGATTTTCCTCCTGATATGCATTCAAATTTGATGACCTAATTGCAGATTGTTTTTATTCTGTAATGGAAAACGAATTATTGACCCGTAACGATTGACCGCATTTAAACAAATAGGTTACTAATATTAACTATCATTCACGCTCAATACTTCACGCCTAGATGTTTACCTTTATCCCAGGATAGAAAGATGTAGTAGGTATGTACTGTATGTATGTATGTAGTATTGAGCCACGTAGTAGGTAGAAGCTCAATAATGGCAAATTAAGATAATGAAATTTGATGGTCTCCAATTCTATATTTTCAGATAAAACTGCATTATCTTGTTGCAAAATTTGCCAAAGAAAAGCCCATCTTGCAGACAATTTATGATGAATAAAATTTTCAAAGACGTCAATGTTTTTCTTTGTCTGAATAAATGTTACCGCAAGTTGCTTCCGTGGTTCATTTTAGTGAGTGCGTCTCGTTTCGTAAAAAAACACGCTGCTGTGAGTAAGAAATTGCGTTCAGCTCCGGCCGGTGAACCTTTCTCGATGTGGCCGCTGATGGATGCAATCTGCCAGCTGTTCGATATCTTCCATCCTTGAGCGAGAGACCATCGTGTGTTTGACTGATGCTGAAGCCCTGCCAGATCGCATGCAGTGCTTCACCAAATCTTCATTGTCGCGGGTTCGAATACCTTGTGGGAGCGTCACTTAATCTATATGAGCGGCAGTCTGCTTTGAGGAGCCAGTTCTGGAGGGATTAATATTCTGGAACATTTTGATTTAAATTATATTGTCATAAAATAACGAGAAATTTTGATGGATCAATATCTGTATTGATCTTTTGATATTTATTTCAATCTAGTTAACTATGGAAAATAATGAATTTTATGAATCTGGAAACAGAAGGAACAATAATTCCACTTTAGACTAGATTCGACTGGACAAAATTACCTATTTCCAAGAACTGAGACAAGTACTAAAATTGTTCTTATGAGGCAGATTTTTGCAGAAGGAAATGGTTGGTTTGATATCAGTGATCAACTCGACCCCTGGTCGGTCCCCATAAATAGCTGCGCGCCCTGTATACAAAGGCGTTAAAGGGGAAGGAGTTGCCATCAGTATTGATTTGGCCATAAATTCGTCTTGATGGACCCCCAGAACCCCAACTAACACTATAGTTTTGAATAATTTTTTAAAGTACTACTATTGATCCAAACCTCGTTGCCAACCATTATTTTCGATCGCAGCAGTTCAACATTCTCATACTCTGATGATATTGGAACTTTATCTAACTCATACTCCGAATCACCCAGTGTCGGTGCTCTTATCATTCTGTCATTTTATCATGTTGATGATTGATGTTGCACTGTAACTGTTCGTAGTGACTGACTTTGAAAAAAATGTAATCCTGCAAACTGCATAGAAGCTGTAATCGTTAAATATGCTACTGTCCAAGGATCATGTGAAACTTTTTTGCTATTTTTTATTGTGAAAAAATTAGAAAATGAACTGGCTTTTTTCCACCCAACGTAGTTTACCCACAATGAAGTTGACTTCAGCCAAGTGCGGCAGAATTCCGAGTCAACAGCTTAAGTCGATTTGCTCGTTTCTGTGCGTTGAAAGCATGACTGGCGATTGTGAACGTATTGAGTACCTCGGGCATGCATCTATGCCAGTAACACATTCAGTTTGTGCTCATTAATTCTCTTGAATGTGGTTGAAATATTTGATGGACTTTCCCTTCCTTGACGAGGCGTCGGGATGGCGTGTTGAGCGGGGCGACCATCGACCGGAAGGCAACTTATTAAGAGCGGCTCCTAGTTTATCAATTATATGTAACGCACTGATGATATTCCGGCTCCTACAGCTACTAGTTGATATTTTTGTTCGGGTTGATCTGCTTGCAACTGTTCACAAAAAAACACACAATTCAGAATTTTGTCGGCATTTGTTGTCTTACTTCTGATGAAATAAGCCCCAATTAAATGTTAATACGTCGCCTGACAGGCATAGCTGTCTGACTGCACAACACATAGACCCTTTAATATTTTGACTGGAGGTTGTATTTCGATGAGATTTATAACATTGTACACATTGTGCGTAGTAACACTATCTGGTCACGTCTATGCGTACTGAGCGAGTCTCTCCCTGATTTCAAAGGACTTGTAACTTGTGGGTGCGAGCGTTCCCATATTTTGCCATAATATATTAATCCGTTCTATGGACAAAATTTAAGTAGAATAGGTACTTCAGATTAAGGTAAAATTTACCGTAGATCTCTTGTAATTAAGCAATAAAGATTCTCTTATCTCTCTCAATCATTGTTGTATAAATGCAAAATTTATTGTACTAACTCCATTTGTGTGTATTTTTGCATTTGCGCTATAAAAGTTGGGTTTGAGAAGGAATTACTTCTTGTCGAGTGACTCTCATCTGGCGTTTAGTCGGGCTTCGCTTATCTGAAATTATTTGTTTGATGTATTTCCTGTTTTTGAGGAATACCTCTATTCCTTGAACTTGTCGCTGCATTTAAAGCAATTTATAAAGCACATATATATGATACCTGTAAGCTCGGCTATTCGTTAAGAAAAGTTACCACCCGAATCCATTGAGAATTTGAACGCTTTGAAGTCCCTGGCTACTGAATATATCACAAGGAAAGGCATCTCGTGAGCTCTCATTTGAAGTTATTTGCAGCAATTGCTGCTCCTTCGGGGAACACATACTTAGTTATTAATGCCAGTACGTATATAAGTTTGAAATTCTGTTGTGTTGCAAAACGTCAAAAGGAAGACGTCTTGTAACAGAGGTGACTGTTAATCTAAAGTGCAAGACCTTGCATTGTCACCTGCAAGAAGAATGCATTTGCTTTTTCTTGAAAAATTTGTGTGATTCAGACGCTTAGAAAGCAACTTAGTGTGAAGATTAATAATTTTGTCACTACTCTACCGTAGAACTTCTAAATCTTATTAAACGTATAATGTGCTTAGATTTTCTTAAATTATACTCGACAATATAAAAAAAAACTATTGTACCTCAAAATATTGCGTATTTAAAATACTTTTAAGATGATCCACCTAAATTAATATTTATCAAACCTGATCCATTTCCAGACGGATCGCTCACGTGTACAAATGTCATCTTAGAATTTTTAGTTCTTACAAGTACATTTTTTAATAAATTTTCGGCTTGATGCGCATGTGTCGTACGCAACTTAGTTATAGCAGATTTTAATCTACGCGTTTGATTTAGTTCGATTCTGGCTCTCGACTTGCCTATAGTGAAGGGAATATTTGGTACGTGTTTAGTTAGGAATATCGCTCTGAATATTTACATTCAATTCAAGTTCTCAATGTGTTTCGTTCAAAATAAAGTATTCTACGTATCATGTTTATGCTGTGTGCAATACTACTTTATAAGCTATTTTAACATTGTATGTTTATTTAACAAAAACCGATTTTAATAAGAAGTTCAAGGATTCTCGCGTTTTCAAAACCCATCGTGAACGAATAAACTAATTTACAGTCATTAACCGGCAAAGGATGTTTGAGTTTCTGTATATAATTTGATAAATATGCTGCTGCCGGTTTAACGAGCTCAAAGTCACAGAAAATACAATGCCTAACTTTTTTTTACGATATGCGCAAGCTAATAAAAGAGCGCTGGCAATTAAATATCTAATTATAGGAGGTTGAAAATATTTTTATCTAAAATCAGTGTCCAAATTTTTTATGACACGCCATAGCGTATGAAAGAGCGCCAATGCTTAGAACAAAAATGTCAACCTGATTTTCATTTTCCTTGTGAAAAACACCAGTTTCTAAACCATCATTAGTGTTTCCGAAAAGTAGAATTAAATGTTGTTGCATAATTTCTTTATTCTTAGTTTACCTTCATTTTTAATTATTAGGCTTACATGAAAACTGCGGTTTATTCGACCGTAACAATAATTTTTCAAAGTTTGGTTTGTTTTTTGAAACGTTTAAAAAATAACACCGTATGATTGTTAATTTTTCAGACATTATCCTGAATTTTCGGACGACGTACGTGAACAAGAAGGGCGAGGTGGTGTTGTGCCCCCGCAAGATCGCCCTCAACTACATCAAGGGCTGGTTTGTGCTCGACTTGGTTGCCGCCATCCCCTTTGAGCTCATACTGCAGAGCAGAACTGAAAATGAGGTCAGTTTTTCGGTTGTAGTGTAGTTTTTCCATAGTTTTTATTCATATTTTCATAGTTTTCATTCATACTTTCATAGTTTTCATTCATAATTTCATAGTTTTCATTCATAATTTCATAGTTTTCATTCATACATGGTGTTTGTTTCTATGCGAAGCTAACTTGAATTTTATTGTATGCTATTTACATGAAATTATCATGTGTCCCATCACATCAGTTATCAGTTAACTCTTACGTTCCTTAACATATTTTGCAACGTCCTTTCTAAGCAAATCTTAAATTTTATTGTAAATTATTCCATTCATGGCCATATCAACTTAAAATCATTATATTATAATGATTTTATTATATTATTTTTATTTTATATTATTTTTTTTATTTATTATTATTATTATAAGCCTTAAGAATGCTAGAAATACCCCGCGATCAGATACCTCAGGCTGTGCAGACTGCACCACAGGCGGTAAAAATGCAATAAGATCTTACTTTGAAAAAGGCCTAGCAAACCGTATTTGCTGAGCGGTATACTCCGCGTGAACATGATTCCGATTTTTCATTGAGGTTGAGATCAGTCACTGCTGATTTACTGCGTCATTGTGGATTTGAACCGCTATACCTATGTTGAAGAATTTAAAAATGTTCATTTGAATTTAACTGTGCTTTGAACTTTGTTCCAGAAATTCTGAATTTCAAGCGTTTGAATTTTTTGTGTATGTAAAATTAGTACTTAAATTCGTAGCGATTATACTTTGCGCTTGCAAATCCTGTAAAACAAGATTAATATAAAGTGCCCTGACATTTGCGATTTCGAAAATTTGAAAAAGTCAAATTTATTTAAATGCAGGTATTTTTTTTTCTTCATACGATTGCATTGATCCTGGAAATTTTTCTGAGAATTCCTAAAATGTTTGATTAATTTAAACACAATTTAGTCACTAGTACCTGTGTAATTGTGATAGAGGTTCCGATCTTCAATTGATTAATTACAATTCAGATGGTAAATTCTCAATATTACTCGGATGACTCGTTGCTTAAAGCAAATTTTTGAGTGCAAAATTTTACGACTTGCCAACGCACAAAGTAGATATAAGATAAGAGAGTATATATAGCCATATATACCCATCAGCGTGGATTAAAGTTTATATTGTTTATTGAAAGTTGCAGTGGCTGATGCTGATCCGTATGCCATAGACTCTTATGTCGTGTTTGCTTCTGTATTCAATATATTTAGACTATATATAAGTTGGTGATTAACTCGCTCCTTCCACCGCTGAGAGTCTTACTGATATTTCATGAATATTTTTCGAAATCTTATCTCGTTTTGCTGAATCACTGGCAAGTACTAATTTCATTACTGTTGATTCGTCTCACATATTTCTAATTTTCACTTAATACCTATATCATGGCGACAATAGCATTCATTCCCAAAGATTTGCCTCGCTTGTTTTCCTATTTGGCAATTGCTTGCCTAAGACACCCCAGTTTGCGTGTTTTGATTGGTGTATGCCTCGGGTTTTTGGCGGCAGGCGAACAAGATCTACACGATGCTAAAGTTGACGCGCCTGCTTCGCCTGGCACGACTTCTGCAGAAGATGGACCGCTACTCTCAATACTCGACGTTCGTGCTCACGTTGCTCATGCTGTGCTTCACGCTAGTGGCTCACTGGCTCGCCTGCATCTGGATAGCTCTTGTCGTCATCCCCACACCCACTAACGGCACTTACATGGAGATCGAGTATGACAGAGCAAGTGAGTTTTGCACCTCTGCATACAAGGTAATATTTTAGTCAAGATATAACATACTTATCAGTAACATCATGACTGCGAATCACATTTCTGTGTGGCTTGCACATTGTTGAGTGAAAGCCAACGTACAATTCATACCACCTACAGAGCCCACATGGAGATGGAAATGAAGTACAATGTGACTGGAAAATTTTATTTAGGAGCTCTATGAATTCCATGAAGTAATCCACAGATTATATTTCAAATCCAATTGTTTAATCCATAGATTATATTTTCACTCTTCTTGGTCTAGCGCCCAAGGCCTCGATCGCGACTCGTGGCTCCCACTTTGTGGATACATTATTAATGTGTAGTGAATATTTCTATGTTAACTTTCTTATTGTAGTTATTATTTTTCTTGTTTATTCCCGGTTTCATTACTCTAGTCTTAGTGCATGGCTCCTTCGAGAAAGTAAACACTATACAATAAAATTATTTCAATGTTTTATTATTGATAGGGATATTGAGGTCGACATATTGTGGAGATTGCCTCGTTCATCGTCATTGAATTAGCGCTTCTGCCAAAATAATAGGTATTATCAATTATTGGTAGCCTATCAGATAAAAAGATTATATAAATCTTCTGTGGCAAGAACACCAATCCGTTGGGGGGAATATTCAGGAACGCATTTCTTATAGTAACTCAAGTTAATCCCAACTCTAAGCTGCTTATGTCTAATATTTGGAGAAAAGCTTCATATTTATGGTTAGACTTGTGATATGAAGATTGACTTACCTGATTTGTCAGCTTCCGTAACGTTATTTTAACGTCTAAGCAGGGTGGCCCAGTGGTTACAGTTCAGAGTACCAAGATTGGCGCAGAGAGGCGCGGGTTCGATCCCAGCTCTGTGCGCCAGTTTCTGGTGAGAATCGGCGAGGAGGCCGGGCGGTTAAGCACAGTAGAATTTGAATCAGTGAGTTGTGAGTTCGAGACCGCAACAAGCTGTGGATGTTCTGCGATTTTAAGAATCGGCGACAGGCCTACGGCCTAATTAACGCTGAAACCGCTATTATTATTATTATTATATCACCACCCATTCCTTCAGTATCACCGCGTCGTCTTTGTGACGTCATTGTAGTGAGGCTATATAAGTGCCTCAATCATCCCAGGAGTCAGTGGCTGCCTAGCCTCTACGTATGAGCGTCTACATACGTTCTGTCGGCTCCGACACTCGTCTGTTCACTGGCGATCGTGTCGATCTAGCTGCCATTTATATTCAATTATATTCTTGTATTAATACTTCGCCGTGACTTAATTACATTAAATAATTTCCGCTTTAGAGTTACATCTCGTTACTTAACCTATTATAACAAGTTGAACAATTAATTGAACCGCGATAAACTTTTATTTAGTTAAAACTTGTCCCAGGTGTCACTGAAAAGACGCTCCGACAGATTTAACGCACTGGAGTTGAAGGTATTATTAATCACTTGCGGATTTTCGACACTCAATCGTCTATTAGCGCTGACAGATCAAAATATTCTTTCTTGCGACTGCAATTGTTTAGCAAATTTGCTGATGTGCTGTTAAAATTATTTACAAATAAACCAAGTATTTTTCATGTTCCCATTTAACCGTTTCATAAGATGAATAATTATCAATATTCTTCTGGCAATATGTCCTTGCTAGTTGCACTCGCGTCCTCTCGAGAAAAAGTGAATTACTTGGATGATATTTCAAAGATCTTCAATGAACAGGAAGAACGTCTGGCGGTAACGAGCTATCAACGTCAAGCCAAAAGTTGTCTTTGAAGTGAACGAGTGTCAAGCGTTCTTGTCTCGAGAACTGCCTGAACGATCTTGCCCAAAGGCTGATCACAACTAATTAGTATGGCTTCCTGATATTTAATTAGGTCGCTTGCTCCTCTTCAAACGCTCGTCTTCTCTTGAGATGCTCCGTGCTCGCCAATTTCCAACAAAGCTTGCAAAATTTTCCCTCCAATATTACGTTTATTAATTGCAAGTTATTCTAAAAGTATGTGTTCAGTTTGATCACTAACAAGTCACCATAATGTCTAGAGTTAAAGAGACGAGTTTTTCACATAAGAACAATATTCACTCTATGTACGCTAGTCGTACGGTATGATCAGGAATGTTCACTCATACTGCCAAATGATATGAACGCACTCATTCATGAAATTCATTCTACTGTTTTAGCTCATTTTCTCAGTTATGGAAAAAATGCACTATTGTGCTCGCCATGTCCGTCTGTCTGTCTGTCCGTCCGTGACTTCATGTTTTCGTCGACGAGAAAATGCGCTCTCGGTCACTCACTGCAGTGAGTACTGAGTTATATTTTTTTCTCTTGTGTTAAATCGAGCAATGAAGGCTGCGGTATTGATTATGTCTTGCTTCTTACACGAGGTCTAAATGATATATTTTTTTAAACATGTATTTGGCCTTGCGAAATGCATTCAAAAATTTTGATTTTCACTCTTTCACTTCTATCTTTGGCAGAATAAAGTTCTTTGAGAGTTATGACTTCAATCCCTCGAACTCGAGTTTGCCGCGCCTCGATTTGCTCCTCTGAAAATGTTTTCACGAGGAATATGAATTCCTTTGAATGCTAGCGCGTTTTAATGCAGTTTTTGAGTCATGAAATTCTGCAACTACACGGATATTCGCAAACTTAATTTAGAATTTCAGACCGATCCAAGGTTTGCATTAGAAAGTGCAGTTAGCCATGCTACGATTTGATTTGAAGCTGATATTATATTAGTGTGTTTTGTGCGCCATTATAATTTTAACACTTAATTTTTTAGATTATTGACTGATATTCTTCTAAGATGCGTTCAAAGTCGTGAAATTCTAAGTTATAGTTTACAAATTTTCCAATTATTAGATTCAATGAAATAATTCCGAAATGTTTTGTTCACTTGAAAAAAAAATTAATTGAAGATATCCATCCTAAGATTGTACACTCTATTATTATTGTTCGTCTGATTCTTCATGTGTTTGCGAGTACAAATATTGGATAAGGCTCCGAAATTCGTCACTTCTAATCTCTGATAAATTTCGCATTTGAAGCTAGAATTGCATTAAAATTTACGTCACACACCGCATAAATTTCAATCATGAGCTTGATGCATATAGAATATCAATAATTTTTACTTTGGAATAACCTCCCTGCTGACCAGGATATTGAAAAATTCGATGAAAAGTCCGCGGATTTGTAAAGAATTGCTAGCATTCATCATCCTTTGATTTACGGTTCTCATTTGCTTTTATTCACTCGACAGGACGTATTGGTCATTTGACTTTCACGAATAATTCATTTTGAATGTTTTATTTTTGTGGCAGTGGGGGTTCAAAATGCTATTTTTTAATTTAGTTCGTTATTGTTAGTTTCACTCTTCGCCATTATTTTATTTCCTTGCCTTTTCTGTATTCTGATTTCTTGCTCCGCCATGTTGTCTGTTATCGATCTCACATTTTATTTGTCTTTGAAAAGTGTCATCTCCCTCATTACTTCTCTTCCTGATACCTTTTTTTTCACCATAGGTGGTCAATTATTGTTCTTCCCAAAACATATATAACACCTTTTACTATATCCTCGATTTCTATTAATAGTTTACCCGCAGGTGGGTAAATTGTTCAACATGATACATATTATACTTATAACTATTTCTTTAATTTCAATTAATTTGTTTTTATCACAGGTGGTCAATTGTTTCACCAAATACCTATTGTTCATCTATCTTTATATTTAATTTCCATTAAATTCTTTCATCACAGGTTATCGATTCTTCAATAAAATACACATTATACGTCTACGTATATCTCCAAACCCAATTAAATCATTACATGCATCGCACCAGGCTGGATTTACGAGCTGGCAGAGCGCACTCACGTCAACGTGTCTAGTCTGAACAACGACCAGAAGTATGTGACTGCGCTGTACTTCACGTTCTCATCCCTCACGTCCGTTGGCTTCGGCAACGTCTCCGCCAACACTAAAGCTGAAAAAATATTCAGCATCATCAGCATGCTTATTGGCTGTAAGATCTACAATATATTTTCTCAAGATGATAAAATTACAACAATAGCATTAATATTAAGACTTCTTAATCTTTATTTATTCAGTGCAAACTTTTTTATCACTCGGAATTTATTTAATTTTTAAATTCATGATTATAAGCCAAATATATCGCTGCTTTTGGTGTAAGATTGGAAAAATTGAAGCTATAATCATATTTTGTAAGCAAATTCGAATAAATGCAATTCTCAGTCAGATAGTAGTGCGTCTTGTTCATTTCGATTTGCATCGATTATTTATTAGATCTTGTTTCTAACCATCCCGAAGGGAAATTTGTTGTGATACATGTTTTCTAAGCGTATTATTTTTTGATGTGCTCGTGTTAGAGGCCTTGATTAATGATACGTCATCTTGCATAGGATGAAATAAGATGTTATGTTATGTTGTGGTTGTCCATTCGAGCTGTACCATGATATTTTGTCTTTCGATTTTGTATCTCATAAAGGAATAATGTTTCATGATTCTAATAATAGCGAACAGAAGGGTGAGTGATTGTGACTTTGTCGGGGCTCTCTGACACCCAACTAGCCTACATGATAGTATAGGTTCGGGAAATTGATGAATAGTTATTAAAACACTTAATTACCTCACTTTCGAATGACCAAACTAAATAATATCAACGTATGAAAAATATTAAAACACTTCATTACCTCACTTTCAAATGAACAAACTAAATAATATCAACGTGTGAAAAATATTAAAACACTTCATTACCTCACTTTCAAATGAACAAACTAAATAATATCAACGTGTGAAAAAATGACATTAGCACATTAGCACTTTAAGTTCACATCTTCCATTTAGGATTCTTTGCTCATCAGCTCAAGTACTGAGATTTGAGGCCAACTCTTGATTTAAGGTTAAATCTCCATTTGAGTCTAACTCTCCATTTTGAGTAACAATTGGTCTGAGGTTTTCCTTCGCTCCGGCTTTCCACGCAACAATAATGAACGAACCTTATAGCATTCCTCACATTTCTTCCAGTGAACTCTAAACTAAAATTACAATTAAAATTTAGAATAATAAAACATTTCTAACAAATTTCGTCGCCTCGCATTACATTAAACTGACAAACGATTTTTATCCTCTACAACTTCCTGAAAATTGTTGATTATTTCCCCTTATTTAGTCTTGATCGCGAGAAAGCCAATACCGAGTAAAGGAAGTTCAACATTTTGCGCGCTTACAAATACTTAGTAAACGACAGGCGAATCAACTTGAATGCATTGCAAATTAGCGTTTCTGCCTACTACCTGTCTCGAAGAAGATAGAAAAAGTATGAAGATTCCTGTCGTAATACACATGCAGAAAATATATCTGCCGTTCTTATATCGTATGACTTTTTAAATAATAAATTGAAGGCTGCGGTGCAATAATCAATCAGCGTCCTTGCATTTTCATACAGCTGAACTATCAATGTGTGCTTATAACGTCTAAATTAAAAAAAAAATCCTCGCTGAGTGCTTGAGTTTTCGTGGCTACTTCATCATGTGCGATGGGTTTTCAGCTGCTGAAGGAAGTTTTCGTTCGAATAAAATATAGCTGAGCACGAATCAAGATCTGATTCGTAAGATAAGGTTAACACGTTTACTTTATAATCAAATGTGTGCCTGTTCACACCTTTAATGTTCGTCATTAATTTCAATGTGATCGTTATTTTTCCTCCCTATATTGAGACACATTTGTAAAATGTTTAATTTCAATTGTTAATATATATAAATTAGATGTAAATAGTAACGGTCAATAAATAGAAGTGAATATCCAAATCTAATTTAACTCAAAGATAACTTTCAATCTTGGCTGCTCACGCTGCTAATGTATCAGACCAAGAGTGGCGCTTCTGACGAGTCAGAAATGCAAAGCTATATTTGCTTCAATGGCTTTATTGACATGCAGAGGAAGTCTGCTTAAGTAACTCGTTGAACCAAGTATTCTTGCTCCTAACGATGCTTTCAAGTCCTTATTTCGGACTTCTTAGAGCTGCGTGACTCAATTTGTATTCGCCGAGGCATCGAAGACTGTCGACAAATCTGATAAAATAGAGCAATAGTACCATTTTAGTTGTATTTACATAGTGTCTGTTGTCATACCCTCTCGAAGCATGCATGTCAAGGTTCACTAGTGCAGCAGGTTTACTATCCCAACAAATTTTTCTTAAATCATCATGTTTTATTTTCATAACGGCAATAACTGTGTTAAAAAAAATTCCTATCACTGTTAGGACAGAGTTGGCGGTAGAATTTTGGCTGCATTTTATACATTTTTGGCTCGCATATTTTAGCATGTAATTCATACCTCAACATGGGTAAATTTCGCCACTATATTGTATTCATTGTTCGACAAAGTGTTAAACATTATTTATATAGTTCTGAAAACCTTGTATTTGGAGTTTTCTGACATTAAGTTTGATTATACTGAATTTTTCCAACGATTAATAAGACTGAGGGGTTTCATGTTTTGAATAGTTTGATTTTTATGGCATTAAAAATTAAATTTGTCTGGACACTTGACAAATTAATAATAATTAATTTATATGGTCTTATAGCAACAGCGTTAGCCTATATCTCCATATTCAAAGTGTTAAGGCTCTGAGGCCGAAATAAGTAATGTACGTCTTCGCGCTCGCAGTGACAACCTAAATTTAATGCCCAGCAAAAAGGCTAAAAAATTCTAAAGATATGTGTTATCTCTTCATGCATTTAATTTTCTAATGTTAAAGTCCAAAATGACATGAATGCTATACTGTTTTTTGAATGCTAACTCTCTTCGGTTACCTGCTTGTCGTTTTCACATTCATTTCGCAGTCAAATCAGATAATAAATATTTTTTTACGTTTCCCGCAGCGCTGATGCATGCCACGGTATTTGGCAACGTAACTTCCATTATTCAGCGGATGTACTCGCGCAAGTCGCAATACCAAACCAAGTGGCGAGACCTCAAAGACTTCCTCACGCTCAACCAGATCCCCAAGGAGCTCAAGCAGCGCATGCAGGACTACTTCCAGACCATGTGGAGTCTTAACCAGGGCATCGATATTCATGAGGTGGGCGCAGCGCATGGTCATGCATGAGGTGCAGCGCATGGTCATGCGTGAGGTGCAGCGCATGGTCATGCATGAGGTGCGTGCTGCGCATGGTCAGGCATGAGGTGCAGCGCATGGTCATGCATGAGGTGCGTGCTGCGCATGGTCATGCATGAGGTGCAGCGCATGGTCATGCATGAGGTGCAGCGCATGGCCATGCATGAGGTGCGTGCAGCGCATGGTCATGCATGAGGTGCAGCGCATGGTCATGCATGAGGTGCAGCGCATGGCCATGCATGAGGTGCAGCGCATGGTCATGCATGAGGTGCGTGCAGCGCATGGTCATGCATGAGGTGCAGCGCATGGTCATGCATGAGGTGCAGCGCATGGTCATGCATGAGGTGCGTGCAGCGCATGGTCATGCATGATGTGTGTGTGTAAGCGCATGGAGACGCTTAAAATGGTGGCCGCGCATGGACATTAGTAAGAAGGTTTCAGCTAAGAGCGCATAAATGTTCATGAAGTATGTGCTTCAGTCAATTATCGTGAACGGAGATTTACAATCTTCTTCAACTTAACAATCATCGTAATCATTTTGGTCTCTTCAGCACTCGGAGGATTATGTTCTTTCATTGGAATTTGTAGTTCTACAATGAACGCGGTTATTATCGGACAAATTATTTATTCGAAACTAAAACGTTTTACGTTTTCGGTTCGAAATGATTAATATTCAAATAATTATTGGCGTTTTGGGATATAATGGATATCTATTTTTGAGGCCTTTTCGATTTCCTTCAACTTTCTTCAACAATAATCAACCATCCACCAGACTCTGAAAACGATTTTTCTTCAAACCAGATTCTGAAATGCTTCTTTCTTTCTACCAGTCTCTAAAATAGTCATTTCTTTCCATCAGACTCTGAAGGAGTTCCCTGAGGAGCTACGAGGCGACATTTCCATGCACATCCACCGAGAAATTCTGTCACTGCCCATTTTCGACACGGCTGCCCAAGGCTGTCTCAAGCTCTTTAGTTTGCACATTCGTAACAACTTTTGTGCCCCCGGCGAGTTCCTGGTGCACAAAGGTGATGCCGTGCAGTACATTTACTACCTCTGCAACGGCTCCATGGAGGTCGTCATCGATGAAATGGTTGTCGCCATCCTCGGTCAGTCTAGTCGACTTTAAGTGCAGGACCATCGATTTCTCTGCAATCTTCGCTGATTAAATGAGCCCAGCTGCATTAGGACTTGCAGTTTTTCCTCCTAACGAATTGATTCCTTTGAACCAGCCTCTGAGATCGTGCTCTAAATTTTAGAGTCTTGGCAACGGGAGGTTCACTTTAATTTTTCTGTTAAAATTGGGACAGATGTCAGACTGGATTTTGCCATGATATTGAATTTTATTTATTTAAATGTTTGATCTGAATTGCTTCATGATAGTAAAAAGTTACATTATAAAATAATTTTCAAGTTATAGCTCGTAATTTTGTAAATATGTCACATACTGCGTACATGGATTTCAAATATGATGTTGTGATCATTGAATAATAATTGAATGACCGAATTATATATATATATATATATTAATATAATATAAATAATATGTATATTTCGCTAAAGACTAATTATACTATTAATGCTCGGCTCTTCAGATAGTGCCATTAAGAACCCAAAATAAGTTATAACATAATATTACTTTCATATTTATTAAATTAACAAGATCAAAACTGAGAATAATTAGCGAACGAGCAGCGCTTGGACCGATTTTACCACTTTGTACATCATCAGATTTTGAGCTGATAGGTTCTTCTGAATCCTGATCAAGCAAACATAACCTGATCAATTATCTCATGATGAATAATATCCCCTCAATAATTTCAATAAAAATCCATTCCATGTTGACAATTACGCGACATTTGTGCAGGCAAAGGGGACTTGGTGGGATCAGACATAGACATGCACCTGGAGACTGGCAGTGAGACCATCGTAAAGAGCGCGTGTGATGTGAAGGCCTTGACTTATTGCGACCTCAAGAGTGTTAATATCATGGGGGTCATAGAGGTGCTCAAACTCTACCCTGAGTACCAACAAGAGTTTGCCAATGATATCAAGCATGACCTCACACATAACCTACGTGAAGGTTACGACAGCGAGGTGAGATATTATTTACCATGGATGTTAAATTGAAGTAAGTAATTATAGAGCTAGTGAAGATTGTGTGTAGTTTGTTGTATATTGTATTACACTGGATACAGCAATGAAGTGTGTTGTAATGAAGGTCTTTACGATATTTTACAAGGTTAGAAATGTTTGGCTTGATTCTATTGCTGTTCTTGCTAAGTACTATATCAGTTTTTTGGGCAGTCAGGATAATTTTGGTAGATACCATTGCAGTTTTGTGGACCGTAAGAATTTTGGTAGAAACTATTGAACTAGATGACGATAACGAATACATACAATCAAACATTCTGGAAGTTTACATATTTAGAGCTGCAGCTCTCACTGTTTGGTACGACGACCCAAATCAATATTTCATCCCTCTATGCTGTCAACAGGAGCGAGACGACTTGGACATAATGTCGGGCAAGAACTTGTTGCCGTCCATCAGCGAGGACGACGAAGAGCGCGGCAGTGACGACGAGGACCGCTCGCCCATGTGCACGTCACCGCGGTCGCCGCTACACGCCACGTCGCGCGGCCACAATAGGTTCAACTTCTCACGGTGCTGCATACCTTGCACGCATACTGTGCATACTGTGCACGCATGCTGTGCACGCATACTGTGTATACTGTGCATACCTTGCACGCATACTGTGCATACCTTGCACGCATACTGTGCACGCATACTGTGCACGCATACTGTGCATGCATACTGTGCACGCATACTGTGCATACCGTGCACGCTTACTGTGTATACCTTGCACGTATACTGTGCACGAATACTGTGCACGCATACTGTGCACGCATACTGTGCATGCATACTGTGCACGCATACTTCTATGCTCCTGACATGGGTGATCGTGAACTCACGTTTATTTATCTGTGTTTTTTTCGTTTCATGTATTTTTCTCAATGCGGAGCCCATTTACGATTCTCAATCTCCGGGAAATTATTATTTCCATTCCTTTGCATTACTCAACTACTTTCTTGATTTTTCGGACGCTTCTGAAAAAAAAACGATTTATAAAAGGGCGTTGCTTCTCATTATTCATTATTCTAATTTGATGTTTCATATTTATAATTGTTTTCATTATTCAGTGTCGTGTGCGCTTTCCTTGAAAAATTTTCCGTTTTTACCGAGTTTATTTTTATTTTTTGCCAACGTCATGTCTTTGCTTCTTTAGATCTAATTTGTTACGAATTACTTTACTAAGTTGCTGCGTTAAATTTCCCTAACTCATTGTTATAAATTTTGTTTCAACCTCAGTTTTGGTTATTTGTGTTTAAATTGTGTCGCCTGTGCTTTATCACTATTAATATCATTATTTAATCATAATATCATTATTTCTTCGTGCTTCATCATTATTCAAATTTACATAATATCGTAAACTTGATTGAACATGGGCCGCATTCTAATATGTAAATTTTCGCTACTGTATATTCGCTTGAAGTTATATTAGTTGATGTTAAACCTTGGGTTTTTCTGATTTAGACTTTGACCGCGAAGACAGCTAACATAAATTCAAAGTAATTTCAGGAATCTTCGCTATTGTTTTCTGCGGACGTTTCATAATTTGAAACTGTGTTTTTTGAATCCTGTCAATCGTCTAACTTGTCTCTACGTTAGAATTTCATTGTAAGAAATTTTAGTTTCCCACACAATAGGTCAAGTAAAGATTTTAATTAAGCTACGCAAAGTTTATTCAAGGTTTTGTTTTAGTTTTCATTCTTCATCAATCTTCGTTAGTAACGAGGTAGTCCAAGTGCGAGATTAAGTTTTGGTTGGTAGGAATTGAACAGGAGGCGAAACCCAAGTCTTCCTTCAAGTAACTTCTCGCGTCAAAAAGAACGAAATCGACTGGACCGGCTGCAGACGTAGCAATGGGCGTAGGTGTACTTTATACTGTACAAGAGAGAATAACATTGTTAGAATAGTCGCATCGTAAAACTGGCGTCAGAAAGTTATATAATTTGGAAATACATCATTATTTATCAATTAATGCAAGAAATTGGCACACACCTAAATCTTATTGAGAGTTAGTGACTGAGGTTTCACGAAGATATTTGGCCAGGTATCGGTAGTCAGGCTGGTACGGGAGATGTTGCTGCCACGGCTGCCGGTTCAAATCTAAATGAAATTATAGGTGCGCCTCCTCGTCACCTGGCAGCAAGTGAAGAAGGAGATGCGCAAAAGAGTGGTAATTTCTTACATCATAATTATTCTGTGCCATGTTTAATTTGCTCCCATTTTTATAGCCTTCGACCGTCAGGCCGACGTACAGTCAGTGTAACATTGCTACGGTCGTGTTAGGGGCAAACTGCTCCCCTCTTATTTTAGTGCCCAATCTTTTTATAGACGTTGTGATTCCGCTCACGGAGAGCTTCTGTCCTTGTGACTCACAGACTGTCAACTCAGCGCCTGAGGCAAGGTCCCAGTGACCCAGTGGACTCAAAGCTAACGGGGTCTGCTAGAATCGACATGAGGTTTACTGCAGCCTTAGCGTTTAGGCTATCTATTCCAGGACCGTCATCCATTGCCATTTATTTAGTCCAGGACCGTCATCCATTGCCGTTTATTTAGTCCAGGACCGTAACCAGTGCCGTTTATTTATTCCAGGAGCGTCATCCATTGCCGTTTATTTATTCCAGGAGCGTCATCCATTGCCGTTTATTTATTCCAGGACCGGCATCTATTGCCGTTTATTTATTCCAGGACCGGCATCTATTGCCGTTTATTTTCATCCAAAAGCTACTCACTGACACGTAGCTCAAACATTTTATTAACCGCATGCCACATAATGCCTAATATAGTAAGCTTCAAGTCCATGAACCTCTTGAAGTATTTCCAAGCGTGTATTCGTTTTTATGGAGTCTTAATTCTTATGGAGTCTTGATGGGCGGCGTATCCTGAGTAGATTTTAATGGGCTCCTCACGAGAAAGTTCATGTCACTTTTTTTCATGGGTCTCAACAGCGGAAAATAGTTGCAATGAACGTAACCAATGTATGGAATGGATGTATTATATATGGATTAAACTTCCACTACATTTTCTGTTAATGCAGGTAAATGGATGTACGGAATGCATGTATAATGTATGGATGTTCATCCATTACGTTTTCACGTGTTTATGTTCCCTTTGCTGTCCGCCCATTGTTTCTATGTTCGTTGTTCTGAAATGCTTACGATGTTTTGCGCGCAGTCAATTAAGAGTTCAATTATATATTTGTTGATGACGAATTCCCCATTAGAAAAATTCGTGGTGACCGAGACCGTCATCTTAGTTGACGACGAATAATTTCCACTTCGGTTGTGAGAAATTATTCTTTGAATCACGTACCAACTGTTTTCCCTAACGATTGTCTAAAGATCAGAGTCGAATTCGTCTGATCGTACGCTTAACCCTTTGTGTACTAATGGGACCTCTCATTCCCCAGCCATCAGGCACGAATAGCGTTGACGACGGTAAATTTATCCGATGTCAAATGTTTAAATTAAAATAAAAATGCCTGTATAACACTGAATGGTTACACAACACCTGGCATATGCCTGGCAGTTGTCTCATAAACTGTGTTCGTGGCAGCATGGAAGAAGAAGTGGTGGGCAGCCCTCGGTGGGCACAGCGTGGGCGGGACCGAGCGGGCCAGGGGGGCGCTTCGACCCCCCACCGCCTCAAGCCGCTGTCGCCCACCCGCCACCACCGCTCCTCCGACGAGCTGCGCCCGCCACCCGACGACGCGCAGTCCCGCCAGCACCTCGAGAAAATTGACTCGCAAGTCACGTCGCTTCACTCGCATCTCAATGTTCTAACCAAGGAGGTGAGTTATTAACTATAGGATATAGTCTATAGTATATCAGCATGTCTTGTCCGGCAGGTTAGACGGGGTATGAAAATGTCCTTGTATTATACATAGTATCACAACCTTTTGATTCTTTTGTTCCGGCAGTTGAGATGGAGTATTATATTGACCAATATTATACATTTTATCGCCCCTAATAATTTTTCTAGTCCTCTAGTTGAGATATAGTATTATATTGACCCAATATTATACATTGTACCTTCTAATTCTTTATGCAGGTGAGATCTGCAGTGCAGATCCTGCAGACGCTGGGCAGTCGTAGCAGCAGAGGCGAGCTGGTGGCAGGTGGCGGGGGCGGTGGCGGTGCACAGGCCGGCATCGCCATCGATGTGTCCCGACAGCTGTCGCCCTTCACGCGCTCGTCCCCCAGCGTCTTCGTGACCACGGAGGAGCCTCTCTCTCCTCCCCACACACAAGTCAAGGTTATCGTCATGTTAATTATTTAGCTTTAAAAAGTTATTTCTGGGTGTAAAATAAGGTCTTACTTATTTTATTATAGAAAACGTTTCGGTGAAACTTTTATTATAGAAAACGTTTCGGTGAAACGTTTATTATTGAAAACGTTTCGGTGAAACGTTTTCTATAGAAAACGTTTCGGTGAAACGTTTATTATAGGAAACGTTTTTTCTTTTGACTCCGAACTTTATTAATTTTCTTACTGTATTTGTGTTCTAGATTTATCGAACTGACAATGGAGCTGGTCTCCGAAACGTTTTAAATAGAGAAATGCTGAATTTTTGTGGAGTATTCTTCGCTTTTAAATTTCTAGTGAATGCGATTCAAGCAATCTAGTTTCATTATTATTGTATTATTGGATATACCATTTAATACAATTTTAATACCTAATTTCTTTATGATAAATGATTTACTGATTTGCAGCAGATTGTTTTGAATTGATAGTATATATTTCTGTTTTATAAATTGTAATAATCGCTATGACAGAATTTCATGTTTGTTTTTGTCAATAGTTAGTTTTGTTAAATGTAATGTTTGTAATAATGATAACGGTAGTACTTTATTATAGCTATAATCTCATAGTAAAGATACTGTCCTACAAATTTCTAGTTTTCCAACTATTAAAATCTTGTAGTCGATTCTATTTCATTAGTAATAACGTGTTCCATTCAACCGTGGCCGCCGCATATGCAAAAATTATGTTTCACGTTTGAAGAGAAAGTAGCTTTCGTTTCCAACTCATCGTATGTATTAATTTCAGTTTAATTATTTCAATATTAATAAATTTGCCCTTTTTACCGAATGAATTTAAGTCCAACTTCAGGTTATTGACATTGATTTTATTGTAAATAACAGGCATGTCGCCACGTGGCCACTCAAACACACTTGCCCATCAACGTGCCAGTAGCTGTGCTCGAGGCGTTCGTCTTGGCGCACAAAGAAAGAGTTCTGCAGTTACTGGGAGTAGATGACCAGAGCTCTCCAGCTTCCCCAGCCTACACTAAACTAGTGGGGGAAGATAAGACTGATGTTGACCAAAACTCTGTTGACATCACAGAGAAAAACTGGAATGCTGCAACTGGCAACAAAGAGTCATCAGCACGTACGAATAGAAGTAGTGATCAGCCAGAGTTAACCACCGATTTCTGTGGAGACGCCAACGCAAGTAGAAGTTTCGGAAGATCGTCAGGCTTAGAAGACTCTATAACTATTAATTCTATTTCATTATCTGATAATAATACTGGCAGATGTCGTAAATCATCATCGGAAAAGTTAGAAGGCAGCGCTGAGAGGAAAGAGGCGCGTCGAGAACGTCGTCGCTTAAATGTCAGATCCCGAACTTCCCAAAACGACAGCTCGCCATCACCATCTAGTTCTGTTTCTTCAGTTACTACTCCATCAAATCAGAGGAAATTTTCGATTCTATCAGATTGCCCGGACGTAGTCGATCAAGCCTCTTTTTCAGCCCAAAACAACTCCGTATTAGTTCAACAAGACGATCATAGAGAGACTGAAGTGATTGCATTCTCCGATCGAGAAAAGAACATGACAAGTGAAATACTTCTTGATAACGCCGATCTAGCCAACGAGAAGGTCACTTTATTAAATGCGTTATCATACGATATTCCTGCACGTATAGTAAGCAGAGCGAGATCTGGAGCTTTACCCGGCACTTATCAGTTAACGAATCTTCAAGATTGGAGCCCTAATTGTTCACAAAATACTCGTCAAAATATCCCTAATTCCATCAGTATGGGAAGTATAAAAGATCTGCTGCATCGTTGTGGACCTTTAATATCAAATGCCGCAAACACGAAGATAATTCGAAACTCTTCTTCAGATCTCGGTGTCAAAATGCCTCGTTCAGGCAAGAAAAGACCTGACTATATTCCTCTAGAAATAACTCAGACGAGAAATCGAGATGCAACAACGATAAATATGCCTCGTAGCGCGTCCATGCCCACGTCAGCATCTGTCGCAACAGCATACGAGCGACACAAAGAGTCTACGTCACAAGTGGACTCCTTAAAAATTAGCAATAGTCATTCTACATAGGCGGAAAATCGTGAAAAGTAAGTAAAGAATAGTGACATCGTGAATTTGGGCACTTTCCATTCATAAGCTGTAAAGCAGGGCACTTACCATTCATAAGCCGTTTCAACGTTCAGGCGCTCTTTCCTACCCTATTATACCGTTGATTAACGGTATAATAATTGTATAATATTATTAACGGTATAACGTTGTATTATTATACCGTTAATAATAACGTATTATTATACCGTTGTATTAACGGTATTATAATACAACGGTATTTCACCGTTGATTTTTAGCTCGCGATCGCAGCGAGTCATCGCCACGATTGTTTTAATGCTTCATCGCTAGAGTTGAGGTGCAATAAAGAATGCAAGCTCCTTTATCAAATTTTGTTTGCGCAATTATATAGAACTAATTCACTCGCATCGATCTTGTGATTAAATCAGGTCAAAATAGCAGTGCAGCTTCATTTGTCGTGGCAATATTTAAATGAAATGAAAAATTATCTTGATATATTCTTAGGTGTATTTATTGATGCAGTGGCATGTCGATTATTATTATTTGCCTGCAGAAACCTCATTTCCCGGAGATGTATGGAGTGCATCATTTATCTTTAACTAGGAGGTTTTGGCATCACGCAATTATTATTTAGGTACGTTTAAATAAATACCTTCTTGCATAATTCGAACTGCCTGCCTTATCGAGTTATCGTCTTTGAATTAAGGATTTTTCGTAAACCAAAAGTACGGTCTCGCTTCCTTTTTAATCCGGCTATAATCAACTCCGGCTTTCACTTGAACCATCCACATTTCACCAGACGAATTAATTAGTTTTGGTTCAAGCTTCATGCGTTCAGAGAAGTTGCTCGTTCTTGGCAATTCTGTACACGTAGGACGGGAACGTACCGTATAAATAAGCTCTATAAACATGGTATATATTGAAGTGCTTACGTGACTTTCGTCTTTCAGTACATAAGTGAAATGAGTCAAGTCCAACCGAATAGTTGATATTTTTATTGCTTGTCATTACTTGGAATGTATATATCTCTACAAAAAATCTAGTAGTTTTATATTTAACACCGAATCCTATGTGTTCTGTGTTTCATCGCTTCAATTCATGCTTGTTAGTGTGACAGCATTTCTGGGTGAAGTAAGATTCATGTTTACGAAGCTGACTTCATAGAACTTGATGAATCTCATCCAATTGCCTGGACTTTAATTATTATTAGAAAATTGAAGACTGAAGAATAAATAATTGATTCGTCACTTAGTGAATATTTATGAAATGGGCCAGATAACGTCTTCCTCTTTCCTTCCTATTTATGGTGCGAAATAAAAGAGAATTTGCGAAAGTATTCTGATTGCGATGGCCTGTCTAAGGTTTCCTAGCATCTTGCATAAATAGTTTTGGCTTGCAAACATCAAGTTTCAAGTTTTACTCTCTTCTGCTCATACTCAAAATCTTTAGTTTAAATGACAATTTCATTTCAGATAGGTATTGAATGATGAATTTGTCGTTTTTAAAATGTACTCTTTGTTTTAGATTTTTGCATTGTCTGAATCACTCGCTCTCTGGCACCTTGTATGCAAGTATTTGATCTTTTACACATCTATGTAGTGTATTTGTAACAATTGCACTGATAAGATCACGACGCTTTTAACACCTACTTTGAAAAATGCACATGTTTCAAACATTTTAGGATTATTTTTGTCATTGACAAGTTCATATTATAGTATTCTCTTGTTAAAATATGAAACAATACTAGTCATAGGAGGCCTTGACTGGATATCAATTTTAGTCGTTAGTTGTCGTTTTTTCTATATAAAGGAATTTGTATAATATCTTTTTTATTGTTATTTCGAGCTTTAACAAGATTTGTGGTGATTTTATCTATGATAGAAGCAATATTATTCACATTGAAACAAACTGTTTTTTCGCCGTTGAGAGAAAAGTGTAATAGAAAAGAAGTATGTGGTACCGATCAAATTTTTACTCGTGCACTTGAAAAAACTTAGTTATTGTTTTCATTCTTTTTTCCGAAGTGTTCCTGGGAAATGTATCGAAAAGAAACACGCTCAAAGGTAAATCTCATTCCTTAGATGTTCGTGAATGTTCGTCATGTATTGCTAGCCAAAAATTACTCCGAAATGGTTCGGCATCTACAGGTTACTTCTAACACGAGTTCGGCAGTTGATGTATATGCCAATATAACTTAGCGATTTTCATGGGAACGTCACCAAATATTCAATGCCATTTCGCCTTTCATGCATCATCTTCCGTCCTTTCCTTTTTTGTATAATTGACGGAAGTGCAAGCTAAGTTGTTTCTGTGTACATGTGACATCTTATGTTCGTGAGATGACGTATATGAATTTTTGTTAGCTTTTATGCATTTCATATGCAGTACGATGATTGATTGCTTAGCTTTAAAAAAACCTCTGCGCATAATTCGGTTAAATGCCAGCTATTCTGCATGGTTGGCCTCCAGCATCTCTGATAATTAATAGTCGGCCTCGTATTTTGTTAACGCATGCTGTATAAAATCTGTTTCGTTTTCAAAGTGAATTCATTACACCATGCACATGAATGAATGCGATTTTGTTGAAGTACTATGTGGGCATCACTTCGATGGAAAGTGAAAGTCGTTTAAATAAAGTTCTGACTTTGTTTTCCCTTTGAAATCTTTTAAAAAGTCGAGATTTATATCCTATCTCTTCATTGTTGGTTGTATTTTGTTTTTGTCCCCTCGTGTGGGACTTCTGACGGGTGTCTGTGCTCGTCGCAGAAGTCCTATGGGATTTCGCGCTCCTAGGGGGTTTGTTCCTGAGCGCCCCACCGCTGAGCTCGCGGTGTCTGACTGCTGGTCTCAGTTGTGGGGTTAAGTTATTATGTAGGTAGGATCCCTTACATTAAGTTATTATGTAGGTAGGATTCCTTACATTTCCCTTCTCTGTCTCTCTCGTGCGGGCGGCCGACGTCCCGTATAAGCAACCTCTTGTTCGAGTGTCTTCGTTTCTATTGCTTTTCACCTGTCCCTCCTTGTCATTTCGTCTCTTTGAGATGCTAACGCTGCTTCCTTCAAGCCAGCTTCAGCGGGCTGGTCAATTGAGACCTTCCGCCCCTTGTGGGCGATGAATGATTTTTTAATTTAAGAAACTTTCGATAACCGAGACCGTTAATTTTGTACTTTTTTTTAGAATATATCCTATTACTTTCCTGATTGTGACCGATAATTTGTTCTGTTTTTCCCCACTGGAGCCTAGAGTATTTTCTCAATTGACATCTTTTAGAATATACATTACAGTATATACTAATCTATTAAAGTAAGAGCCTCATCGTTAAATATTAGAACTCACAAGGACGAGTAGTCTCCATGACTGCGTGTGGCATTGAGTTCTTGATACTTCACAAAACTTACGGGCACCAGGCATTTGCTTCTACCTGATACAATTTGATACAGGGACTGCATTTTCCGATTGATAATATGGCAAATAAAGATAATTCAAGTGCAACATGTTGACTTTTATAACCCACAACTGAAATATTTTGAGATTTGTAGTGATCAACTTAAAACCATGCTGTCTTCAGCTAATGGCGTTATGTTGAAAAGGCTAAAGCCAAAATCAAAATCATTTCGGGTTAAGCGGCAATAAACTTAGAACATCCGACTTCTTTCGCTGTTGTAAAGTATTGAAACATTAATATACGTATGGACCACGTATGCATAGTCAAGGTTATCGTTACGTGCTATAGGGTGGTATAAGAGGCTTGCTACTGTGGTATATAAGGCCGTATCGCCATCACGCCATCAGTTTCAAAGAATCATTTGTAGAGCTGACTTACATCAAACCAAGTCAAACATGTCTTGGTCGCTCGATGCATACGTTCAGCATGTTCTGGACATTTGCTTGCATGTCTTTCCATTGAACTTTGTAGCCGTGTGTGTCAACAAATAACGAACTTAAAAATTTCACCTGCACCGCGGCAGTAATAATTTCAGGTTTGTTGGTTAAGTTCTTTTGAGTTCGGTAGTTAACCTGTAACTGCCAAATGTTAACTTGAATCTCCGCCAAACTCGAAAAATATTTAAATTTTATAGGTGCACAGTGGCATGATATAAAGAATGAGGCCACCGGATAATTATTTCACACCAAATTACAGTTTGTGATTTTGAAAAATTGAGCGGGCTTTTATGCCATTTTTTGCATTGCTGATGGTTATAATTTCACGCGTATCACTTCAGGTGTTTCTATAGTGAGATTAGTTGATATTCACAACTTTTTAAATACAACTCGAAAGTTCTCCCAAACCTAGGAATTCATTCACTTTAAAGGGACAAAAAGCCTTTTATAATTTCATGAGTTTCAGTTCAGCCGTTTCTAAAATTGAATTAGCATTCACAACTTCTTAAATTTAATTCGAAAGTTCTTCCAAACATAGAAATTTATTCGCTTCAAAGCTGCAAAAAAGTCTTTTTAATTTCATGAGTATCAGTTCAGCCGTTTTTAAAATATAATTAGTATACCTAACTTTTTAAATCCAACTCGAAAGTTCTCCCAAAAATAAAAATTTATTCTCTTTAAAGCGGCTAAAATTCTGTTATAATTTCACGAGTATCTGTTCAGCCGTTTCTAAAATAGAAATAATATTCATTACTGATGGTGGTCCATTCAAAGCACAGCAGTGGTGGTCTCCGACAAGGCGGTGATGGAGGTTGGGTGGGGATGTGCGGGTTGTGGGCACCTGAAGCCTGACTGCACACTATAAACATACACTTAAAAGGTACCTGACCCTCGACAGTGAGAAGCAACTTGAAGGACGTGTAGAAGATATGCGTAGGACTGCAAGAGTGAAGAGCTGCATCTGACGGCCGGCGAGAGCGAGAGGGTTATTCTGCGACATCAAGAAGCTAGGTGAAGACATCTGCTACTCAGCAGTCAGCACTGTCACTATAAACAGACTTATTACAAATGGTAACATACCAAAACCTACATTTTTTGTAGACATACCTGACATTACAGATGTCTTACATTAACGTTGTTAATGTTCACGGTGTTAATGTTAACGTTGTTAATGTTAATGTTGTGCAATTTGCGTAATTACATTTGTATAGTTGCATGTAGAACCAGTAGCTACGCGTTACTCATTTTTTACTAGCATGACGTAAGTCAGTTTTCGTCAGTCTTTAAATCGGCGTCTTCCTCCTCGGTTGTGTCAATAAACCTACGAACCTTACAAGCTTTAATTCCAACCCTACGAAGTTAACATGGATCCGTGACCAGGATTGTAGTGTGATCAGAACAGTGGAATTAGACTGATTTTTGAAGTTAGTAGTGATGGCAGATGAAACCTCAATGCGGCCGAATGAAAAACTGCTGAAACCTTGGGTCGTTACTGATGCTGACGGTACCATCATATCAGCTCACTACGACAGTGTGGCAGGGGTTGGCGAGACTTGTACACATGTTGGAGCGGTATTATTCAAAGTTGATGCCATTGTAAGATGCAGAGAGAAAACAACAGTCACAGGTAAGCTAAACTCATCATTTTGCTTTCAACTTCAACATTCTTATTTTTCATTAGTGTCAAAACTGAATACATATCTGATACTGTGATTAGGATAATAAAAGGATTAAGAAAAGATGGATCTTTTAAAGACAAGCACCAAGACTGGATACAATACAATGTGCAAGTGTTACCAAAGAAAGTTTCAAGTTTCAAATATGGTCTCATGGCTAAATTAACATGGTGTAGTCATTTTGAATTAGATGAGTTGCTGTTTTCTGTGTTTCGGGAGTTCCAGCATATTGGATGGTTCCAAGCAGCATCGCCAAGGTGGAGCCACAGGTGGGATACAGAATTGACTACACCCCGTCAACAGCAAAGAAGAGGGCATTGGACCGTGTACTTGATGGTAGTCAACCTGGTGCGATGCCAGTAATGGAGATCCGCACGGGGCCTGCTACCAAGACGGTATTTCAAGCGCTTGATGCAGATGAACTGAAAATGATGCTTGAAGAGCTTCATTTGACTGGAGTTGAGGCAGCAGTTCTGTCTGTGACACCAGAGTACTGTCAGCACTTGTTGAGCAAACTCCTGCTGTTGTGGCACCGAATGGTTATTCTAGGGTCAGAAATACCAAGTGTGATAGCAAGACACTAGGAGAACTGACAAACTACTGTGCTGCAACTGTGCAAGCTGTGTGCTACCCATCTACTAAAACCCTGAAATTGCCAGCTGTGGTGTATGGAAAGCAAATGGAGAACGAAGCGCTAGCCAGCTATAAAGCTTCTGTTAAGGATGACCACTTTGAGTTCATGATGGAGAAGTCTGGCCTTGTGGTCAACCCTGAAATTCCTTTCATGGCGGCCTCACCTGACAGCATCGTGACATGTGACTGCTGTGGGAGAGGTGTTGTTGAAGTCAAATGTCTATATACGCATCGAGAATCGACACTAGAGGAAGCGATGTAGGACAAGGGCTTCTGTATGGAAATGGGACCATTTGGACTTTCACTAAAACAAAATCACCCGTATTATGGCCAGGTGCAGTGCCAGATCTTCTGTACTAAATCAGACTATTGTGACTTTGTCGTGTTCTTGGAAAAGCACTTGGCAATTGTTCGCGTTCTCCCAAATGAGGAATGGTGGGATGAGAAAAAGAACATAGCTGAGAGATTCTTATATGAAGTTGTTCTTCCTGAACTTGCGGCTAAGTACTTTACAGCCACACGTTCTTCAGTTTTACCAAGCCCTAGAGGTCCAACCAAAATGCCATTAGCTGAAATACCACAGAAGGAGGCTAGCACAAGAATTCTTTCTCTGAGCCCAAGCAAAATGCCACTCGGTGAAACATCACAAAATAGTGATAAAAAGAGAGTTTATTCTCTGAGCCCACAAAAAAGCACAAGCAAGAAGAGATCTTCCACCTGCCGCAGAGAAGAGGATGTGGATGACATGGTGGCATGTGACAATGAGAAGTGCGAAACTGAATATTTCATCTTCGGTGTGTTGGCCGAGATTCATCACCGAACAAGGATGACTGTTGGTTTTTTAACATCTTCACTCCTTAGCCCCTGAAGACACAATGGCATGGTTTTTGTAACAAAACAAAATCATGGGATGGACAGCAAGACACTAATTCTGTGTCACATTGATCAGTTATACAACACTAGGACAGACACATGTTGGTCAAGGCGCAGCAAACCCGTACGATCTTGTCAAGAAACGTTGCATTCTCATTTCACATGGCAAGACCAAATCGATAGGAATCGTGCCAGTCAAAATTTCATATTTGTTGCACAGATTGCCTATCACACGTTCCACATGAATTCTCAAGTGCGCCAAGCTTCTTGTGTCTTCAACATCTTTTGCATCTAGCTGAGCACGACCAGTTGTCTTAATAGGGATTTTGACGTCAGCGTTCATCATAAGTACAGTCTTTGATGTCAAACCCTCGATCAGCCAAAACAATGTCTCCAGGTACCAAGTTAATTAAAAATCCATCATTTTCTGTAACATGTTTATCAGTACTCTTCCTCCCCATCCCTTAGAAATGAAAGTGATTGCACCTTGAGGGGCTATGCCAATGAGGTATTTAATTGTGTGATTATGCTTATAATTGGAAAACGTTTGAGCCCTAGCTTTCAGGTTTGACAGTCGCTCTATGAAAACTTCAAGCAGTTAATAATAACGGCAACGTTATTGCCAAAAGTTTCCACAAATTGGTGTGGCATGCTAGTGTGAAGGGTGTCTGTCCGGCCACTGTACA